GAACCCCAATTGCCTCACCAAAAAAAAAAAAGCAAAACAAAACAAAGGCTGGCTGAATTTGCAGAAACTAATGATAAATTTAAAACATGTAAAAATGGTTTTATGACTTTTTTCTATTTAAATACACTTTGAAAATTAAAAATAGCCAGAATGTTCATTAGTTCATAATAGAGACTCGCTTAAAGAGAAAGGGTGGCAAGGTTGGTTGTTAACATAATAGAGTGATAATAGTTTGAGCAATCAAAGCAGCAGACCCTAGGTCCATATTCATTACTCTTGGCAATTATAATCATTTGCTTAGTTTTCATTAACTGACATTTTATTTGACAAATATTATTGTAGAAAGACTCTGGTGATAAGTTGGAAAGTCCCTTCTCTTTACATCTGTTACCACAATTGACATCATGTCTTAGCAGGAAACTTGTAAAATTTAAAAAGCTCAAAAAAGAAGAAGTAATCACTGACCTGTTTCATCCATGACTTAAATAGAAACTTCTCTGTGAAGGCAAAAGCACATTTTAGAATCATGTTTGGTCTACATTCAAGTAAACTAGTTAATAAATTAATTTTTATTTTTAAGAGCCAATCACTACTTTAGTTATCTAATAAAGTAAAAACTTTTATGGCACTTTACAAAATGGAAACTTCTAAGAATTAGAATTTCTGATACTCTCTAGTGCAAATTTCCAGGCTAACTCCAGAAGTAGGAGTGCTTGATTTTAGTGCTATGGCTTGCAATGGGGTCAGCTGGAAAGCTGTTATCTATATATTAATTAGGCAGCTAGATGGCTCAGTGGATAGAGAGCTGGGTATGGAATCAGGAAGAACTAAGTTCAAATCTGGCCTCAGACACTTACTACCTGTGTAACCCTGGGCAAGTCATTAACCTCTGTTTGACTTATTCCACTGCAGAAGTGGCAAAACAGTAAGGGAGAGTGGCAAACCGCTCCAGTTTATTTGCCAAGGAAACCCCACGGGCAGTATTGGCATGCTATGGTCCATGGGTCACTGTGTTCATTTAATAGTTTGGGAACAAAGTCTAGAAAAAAGTAGGGTTCCAGATTAAAAGAAGAGCAATGAAGTAACATGAATTAATTGTTAGCTAGATAAAAGGAATTAAGGGGAAAAAACCCAATTCTAACATCGAACCCTCTCTAAGCCTCTAAAATGTGGGACAAGGTTTTTACTGGATGTCACTTAGGAGTAGGGTACAGGTATATAGGTCAGATTTGCCTCTTGGAGAAAATGGCATCTGTTCTCTGGGTTACATTTGCAATTTCAAATTTCTTGACTGCAAAGCCAAACTTCCTTTAGTTAAGATTTATTTTTTTCAGATGCTAAAAGCACTGCAAAACTCTTGGAAATTCTAGCATAGTGTAAAGGAGTACTGGTTGGGAAGCCTGAGGGCTTGGGTTTAAATTGTCTTTGGATAAGTAAGTCACTGATTTATCTTTTCTGGCCTCAAGTTTTTCATCTGTATATGAGGTGTTGGATCCACTAACTTGAGGTCCCTTTGAGTTCTAGACCTCAGATACTATTTTTCTGTCTAGAGGGAGCCAGGACACTTGAGGTCTAGGCCTGCCTGGCTCTGACTGCCACAGAGTGGTTCTGTGACCATGGCCAAGTCCTTTCACCTTTCTTGGCCTCAATTGCCTCCCATTCTGTAAAAGGAAGAGGTGGGAATAAATCTCTAGGTGTTCCTTCCAGCTCCTCAAACCCAAGGGTCTGTGGTTTTAATGTTTGCCTAATTTTGTTGTATTTAATTCATTCGCAAGAGGCTGGCTAATTTTAGAAACAGGGACTCAAATTACAGAGAGTAGAGGTGTCTGCACCGGCTTAGTTTCAGTCCCTAGCCTAGGGTTTCCATAGCTCCCTTACCAAAGCTATTGAACTGCTCAGAGCACTCCTGAGCTCTGTATTTGTAGAATACTTGCTTGGTAATTCATTCGGTGTGCAGCAGGACTTAAGTGATTCACCCATTTTACAGATGACTAGAGAAAATTCCGTTAGCATTAAAAAGAAAACTTCAAACAACCTTAGAATTAAGGGGTCTTAGAAGGGAAAAGATGTGCCTGTCACGGGTCCCGAGGCGATCTCTTTTGCTTACTTCGAGGGTTTTTTTTCCCATGCTAAGTTTCTTGTGTGGTTCAGTTTCATGATCAACTTTCATTTTCCATACTTTTCCCAGAAAGGAACTAGATGTGTGTGTGTGTGTGTGTGTGTGTGTGTGTGTGTGTGTGTGTGTGCGCGTGTGTGTTGGAATGTTTAGGTGTGGTATGTGTTATGGGTGTGGGATCATTGGAGATTGTGCCCCTAGAGCATCTGGGACCCTACTTGGGGGGACCGTGAAGTTTTCCTCCTTCCTTGGCCCTTTGACCCCGCTCCATCCGCCCGGGCTCTGTTTAGCTGCCGCTCCTGCGATAAGAAGTTAAGGTGGAGTAGCCGGGAAGCGGACTTTGGTTTCCAAGAATTTTCCATCCCATCTGCCTTACCTTCTGCAGATACAGTGGGTAAACTGGAAACTCTGGGGGCTAGAAAGAAAGCCCCGGCCGCGAGGAGCAGCAGCAGCACACAACGCATCTTGACAGATACTGGGGCCCCGGAAACTTGGGCACTGTCCTAGCCTGTGCCCTGGCAATGGCGACGAAGCGGCAGCGGCTGCTTGTGCTGCTCGGGCTGCTTGGGCAGCTGCTTTAAATGTCTGGGGCAGCAAGCTGCTGGGAGGAGGGGCAACTGACTGGTGCCGAGCCTCTGAGGATTTCACAACTCCACGTTTAGTGGGTCCTGAAGGCCAGCCTCTCTTGCAGTGATTTCTGGGTGAATGAGGAAATAGCAGCAGATGAAAGCTGTCCTGGCAGGTGCAGGTCCTGACTGGGAGGAAGCATTTACCCTCAGGCTACTTTCTCTTAGCCCCCAAGTTGGGAATGCAATGAATGGCTCTGTAGGATGAATGAATGCAAGAAGATGTATTAAGCCTTTACTATGTGCAAAGCACTGTGTCCTTGGATTTGGGTTGATGGGAAAAGCAAAGGCCAAGTTCTGAAATTGAGTGGAACAGAAGGCACGTAATTAGCGTCAGGCTGTGGCACTATACACCGCACAGGCTGTCCCAAAAGCCATATTGAAATTTTAAGCTACTAAAGCTTAGAAGTTAAATAGCTAAAAACTGCATGCACTGAGATTTTTGGGACACAAGGAGCTACTAAAGCCTCAATCTTTTGGGCCCAGAGGTACTAAAGCTTTAAGGTACTAATAGCTTAAAATGGCAATAAGACTTTTGGGACACAAAAACTCGAGTGACTTAGAATTGCACTAAGGCTTTTGGGATAGCCTTTTCTCTCCCACTGTGTCCTAGAATGAGAGCCAGACCTTTCTCTGAATTTTCCTTAGCAAAATGAATCATCACTTTGTCTTGGTTCCATTGTACAATTGTTTCTATAATTTCAGGTATGTGACAATGGTGACCTGGAGCCAGCTTATAAAGGAGAGCTGATCATTAAATTTCACCATGAGTATTTCCACCTCCAAAACTGTCCAATGCTACAAGTCAGGGTCTACTTATTGTTTTGTTGATTGTCTACCCTCAAGGACCCTAATCTGTGTAATGCAGTATGCTAGCTAGAGTCTCCTCTTTCTAGGTAGACAGGGTGGGAAGAACAGGGTTAGGTTTGGAGGCAGACATTCCTGCTTTGAGCTCCTACCCTACAATGCAATCCGTGGCTGTGTAAATGTGGACATGTTAAATCTTTCTGAACTCACTTGGGAGGAAAGCATGTTATATAGTTTCCAAAGCTATACGTTCTTATTCTCTCCTTTTAGGTGTTGTCTTCATTTTACTAGGTGGAATGGAGTAGTCCAGCTATCAAGCTGGCAGCAGGATATCTTACTACATTTTTTTTTCATTAAGGAATTTTCCTCTCTTCTGTTTCAAGGAGAGGAAAAAAATCAAGAAAAAGATTTCCTTATGTGAAAGTAAGGGGGTTTATCCTTTTGACTCTAACTTCTTCAAATTAAGAATATTCCTAAATCCTCTCTTGGTACTTATTAACTGTGGGGCCATAAGAAAAAAAATGTATGTATGTATGTATGTATGTATATATATATATATGTATATCTGTATGTATGTGTGTGTGCATGTGTATGTATGTGTATCTATATATATCACACATACATACACATCTCTTAACCTCTCTGTGCCTCAGTTTCCTTATCTGGCAAAATGGGGATATTAATACCTACCTCCCAGAGTTGTTGTGAGGGTCAAAGGAGGGAATGTATATAAAGTGCTATATAAATATCAGGTATTATTAAGGACTTACTTCCAAAAACAAGTAAGAGTTCTACAATTCCTTTGCTGCTGCTTCCATCCTCCTCCCCCAACAGGAGTAGACAGAGAAGCAGCCTGCTGTGTTTTGCATATGTACCAGGGGTCAGAGTACACTAGGAGTCAGCCATGCACAAAGTAGACAGAGTGTGAGGTGACCAGAGAGACATTAATCAGAGAATTGGAATAAGGAAACCCTGAAGGTCTTAGCAAGTAGTCAGGGGGCCAGGAATCTAAGAGTTGAAGGATTAGGCGAACAGTACAATTTAAGCTTCTTACAGACAGGCAGTGCTTTGTTTTTGTCTTTTCATTACGGTTTTGAGAAATATTAATTGGATTGGATTGGATTAGCAAGCAGGAATAGGAGCTAGTATAGAAAATCATTGTATTTGGAGATGAAGACAACCTTTAAGGCCATCTGGTCCAATCTTCTAATTTTACATATAGAGGATATAACTATATAAATCTGATTAACAGCTTGAGATTTTGATTACATCACCCTATGGAAGGTAAGGCCATACTCATTAAAGCCTGATTGATTTTAATGGGAATTTTTTCCACAATAACCTAAGCCAACACATTGTGATTAGGAAATTCCCTTTACCAAAGCCAAGTTGGCACCTTCTCTGCAAATTAGAGGCTTCCAGAGTTGCCTAGAACACTGACTTGCCTGGTATATGAGGCAGAATTCAAATTCAGGTGTTCCTGGTTTCCAGGCCAGGTGTTTATCCATCATGCTATCATTCCCAATGATTTTTTTGTATCATGAAACCCCCTTCTGCAAGAAAAAAAGTGTTGTGAACTCCCAGGGTAATTTAACATGTTACTTATATTATTCTTTATAATTATTTACTGCTTAAGATGCCATTAAGGAATTTTTAGCAGGAACCCTTTGGACTACTGTTAAGAACCCAGAAGGGGTTCTTGAACCGTTAAATGGGAACCATTGTACTCTGCCACACCACCTCTGAGATCAGTCATCCTCTGTGTGGGGCAAATGGATGGACAAGTGCCCAAGGCCAGCTATTCCTCTTGTACAACCTCTGTATATAGAAGAGGATATTGAAGCGTAGAGAGATTCAGTGATTTAAAGAGGGATACACTGGTATCTAGTGGTAGACTTTGAAGTAGAATCTAAAATTTATGACTTTGAAATTGGAGTTTGTTCTACTACATATACCACATGAATCCCTGAAACCATGTTCTGTTTCTGCTTCTGGGCTTTTCTATGGTTCTATGGTACCTGTCCCAAAGGAGCTTGTTCCAACATGTAGGAACAGGTCATTGAAGATGCCTGACCTGGGTGAAGAGTACAGAGATAAGAGGATATGGACTAATTCCATTCTCCAATTCCTTTACCACATATATCACTAACATTCCTTAGACTACTAATAGTATGGGTGAGAACCTAGAACATGCCTAAGAACATGGGAGGCAGTATGGTATATGGACAAAGATATCTGGATTTGGAATCTTGTAATCATGTGTTTGACTCCTAACTCTATCAGTACTCCATACCATAGGTAATGGTGAATAAATCTCTTAAAACTTACAATCAAGTTGATAGACAAGGTCAAATCACATGAAGGTGATTGCCCAGTAATTCCCCTTCTTCTTTTAGAAGGCTGGAGTACAGATCTTTCTAATAGAAAGGCAACCTCAAGGCTGACACTGACCAGAAAATCTCCCCCAGAAAGCTGGAGTTCAGGAACATGTGCTCCTTGGTCATGAAATTTCCCTTTTCACAGCTGTCATTTCCCAGACTGAGTGATTATACCACTACCTATTCAAGGTTGAGATCAAGAAATCTCTTCTCTAAATCTGAGAACATGCAAATTCCATCTACTTTATACGCAAGGCAGCCAGCCATTAGCAGCTACTGAGTGAGAGAAACTCCACCCCATGATTCAGACTTCCTTTTAGTTAAGCTGATTTCTGATCAATCCTCCAAAAAGGGAAAAAAGGATGAAAGGGTCATGACTTTGCAGTTGACCCCCCTTAGCCCTGTAATGTAGGGGTGATTTTACCAACAGCTGTCCAAGCCAGTAAATTCATATCCACTTGGTGAGAAACAAAGTCTCAAACAAAGGCCTACCATCCTATAAAGCTCACCAAGTTGATCAGGAAATAAACCATTACCCCTCTTTTCCCTTCCTCCCTCCCCTATCAACCTTCCATATTAAATAGCGAGGTAGCAACAGAGGAAAGGCCACTGACTCCAGCATTAAAGGATGTGTTCAAATCTTCCCTCTGACAGTTAACTGTGTGACCTTGGTCAAGTTGTTTAACATTCATGGGCCTCAGTCCCTCAGCTAGAACAGGTAGGACCAGATGGCTGTAGATTATCAGAGGTTCTTGAACTTTTTTGGATCCTGGACCCCTTTGGCAGGCAGGTGAAGTCTATAGACCCCTTCTCAGAACAGTGTTTTTAAGTACATAAGATAAAATACATAGGATTACGAAGGAAACCAATTATATTAAAATACTTTTCTTCAAAATATTTTTTTTTGTTTTAGCTAGGCAATGGGGTTAAGTGACTTGCCCAGGGTCACACATCTAGTGTCAAGTGTTTGGTCTGAGGCCGGATTTGAACTTAGGTCCTCCTGACTTCAGGGCCGGTGTTCTATCCACTGCACCACCTACCTGCCCCCAAAATATTTTTTAAAAAACAAGTTTGATTACCCCAGGTTAAGAACTCATGCTATGGTGAGAAAAATTATTATTTTACTTTTATATTAATAACCAGTGATTAAATTGGGATTCAGGCTTTTCTCTTCAATTGGATCTTTGAGGCTTAGCTCTTGTCTCTGAAGGACATGACTGATTTAGATTACTCTTCCCTTAGGGAACTTACTCTTCAATTCTGGTCAGGTCCCCACCCATCTAGGAGACCTAACTTCTATTTAGAATATAAACAGAATCCAGTCTGGGTGACTTCTTATCATGGAGAAAGGAGCCCCTGTCCTTGTACCCCTCCATTAGAGTTTAGGGTGACCTAGCTCCTGAAGGAGAAAACCAACCAGAGGGGGCTGGATGGAGATGAATTTCCCTGTCCAGATTGCTAGAGGTGGCTGACTCTCATGATCAAGGCACTTTCTCAACAGGAAGAGCTGAAGCCCAACTCCTCATTAAATGTCCACCAATCAGGGTCAGTTTTCATCTGTCAGGAGCATTCCTTTTCTAAAAGTATGTAAGGCTTTTAGGGTCTCCATGGGTCATCTTTGGTTACCTAGAGAAACCTTTGACTATCAATTTATTGATTGCTGGCTAGCCAAATTAATCACTTGATTATTAATTACCCAGCAACTCTATCCCTTAAGGTTTTTCATTCATTTCAATGGCCTACTATTGAAAAATCTGAACTCTACCTAGGGAAATGAGACATTTCCAGTTGGAAAAGTGTCCCGCTTTCAAATGATTATTTCCACAAAAGGCTCAAGAATGAAACCAAGGAATGAATCCAAGTGTTAAATCCTAATTGGAGCTGGAAAGGTACTGTTTAATTTTCCAAACACAGGAGAATGCACTGTGTGCAATGGGAAGAGCACTGAATTTGACATTTGAGGTCCTGTATTCAAGTCCTGACTTTTCTACTTGTTAGCTTGGGTGAGTTTAGGCAAGTCAGTCCAACTTTGTGGGATCTGTTTTCTCATCTGTAAAGTAAGGGAGGCTGGAGTAGGCGATCTCTAAGGTATGTTCCAGCTTTACTATGATTCTAAAGTTCTCCTTGGACAATCCTATACTACTTATTCCTTGGAATTAAGGAGGAAGGCTATGGTGTTTTCAGCAGGGAAGCTGCCATTTTGGGGACTGTGTTGATGCCTAGCTAGAGGAGGAAGTATTGACTCCTGAGCAAATTAGGTGGGTGAACTGGAGGGGACGCTGCCCACAAAACTGTTCACTTGCTTGAGCTGACCCAATCCCTTGTCAAACAGATCAGTACCAACCATGTAATTATGACCTCAACCTATAATTAAGGTCAATTCAGGGCTTAGGTGTAGACACTTCCTTTGACAAGCATCTTGTTGCACCATGGTAGAAAGGAAGCTTATCACCAGAGTTAGAAAGTGAAGCAATAAGGTTGTCTTCAGAAGCTTTATGTGGCAAATCTCTACATCCCTGTACAGTAAGGAGCTCTGTAGGTGCTCTGAGTATGAGGACAAGTTAGGCTTGTTTTCTGTGATCTAGGACATTTCTCTCTCTGTCTCTCTGTCTCTGTCTCTGTCTCTCCATCTCTCTATCTCCTTCCTGCCCCCCCTGTATATATATATATATACACACACACACACACACACACACACACACATAAACATAGTTATCCACATATATGTATACATAGTAATTATATACACACAGAAAACAGTTATCCACATATATGAATACATAGTACATACACACATATGTATGTATGTATATGTGTATATATGTATGTGTATACACACACACATACGAACACACACACACACACACACATACACATGCAATGGGTTCAAGTTCAAGTCTCACCTCTGGCCAGAAATGGCTAAGTGATTCGGGGCCAGTCATTCCCACTCTCAACTCTCTAAGCAGATAAGCTGGAGTATGGTTGGAAATCCTACTTGGGACACATCTTCAGTGAAAAATTTCTGAAATAAAATGAGAACATCAGGGCATGAGATGTAAACATTGATTTTTATTCTCTCACCTGGAAATGTTTGCAGTTATTGTTCATCAGTACTGTTGGTGAACACTGGACAATGCTGTTCTTTTGAGGTGACATACAATTTTAAGCACTTGACAAAGGACAGTTTAGCAGGCCATGGTGATATTTTGCTTTCTGAACAGATGTTGCTTTAGAAGAAAGTAAACATTGTAAGGAAATGTATGGATATGGAAATAGTCAACTAGAAAAATCCTATCCTAAATTCTCTAGCCAGTATATAATAATCGGTCTCATGAGTTTGGAATTGACTCATGATTTTAATATTGACTGTATATTATAGTGTTTTTAAGCATTAACACATTTCAAATGTACCATCAACTTTCAGTTTGTGGTTCATTATTGAGATGATTAGCCTATAGGTCTCTCACTTGGAATGACAGAATTGTAACATAGATAAGCTTGTGTCACAGTGTTTAAAAACCAGGGTTCAGGGATGCTGGGGCCCTTATTGCAAGGATATATTTAAATAGTAACATCTGGGACCTAGAAAAACACATTCCATATCTCTGAGGGAGACTGATTTCCACCTTGGGGCAGAGTAGGAGGACTGACATAACACTGAGTGTCTATTTTGTAACTCTATTTTGGGGAGTCATAATAAAATCTACTTTCCATTGTCACTCTGGATGGAAAATAATCCCTCCCCGGAGGAGGAGGGTAATAGTAAGTTTACCCTTTGCCAGCTTAACTCCTTCTCCCCAAAAGCTTGTTACACAAAAGATTATCATGCATAGGTAGCAAATGTAAAATAGAAAGTAAGCAATAAAATAGAAATCTGGAAAATTATACAGATTACAGTAGATAATAATACTTAGCATATATATATATATGTATGTGTGTATCAATATGTGTGTATATGTATGGGTGTATACACACACACACACACACACACACACACACGAAGTCTGTTGATAAGCATTTCTTTTTCTTTTTTTTTAGGCAAGGCAATCGGGGTTAAGTGACTTGCCCAGGGTTAACAGCTAGTTAAGTGTCAAGTGTCTGAGTTGGGATTTGAACTCAGATCCTCCTGACTCCAGGGCGGGTGGTCTATCCATTGTGCCACCGAGCTGCTCCACAAATAAGCATTTAATAAGTGCCAGACACTGCTAAGCAGTGGGGATTTAAAATGAGGTAAAAGACAGTCCCTGTCCTCAAGGAGCTCACAATCTAATAGAGGAGACATCAAGCAAACAAATGTGTACAAACAAGCTACATCCAGTATAAACAGGAAATAAGGAACAGAAGAGAGGCCCTAGAATTAAGAGGGGTTGGGAAAGGCTTCCTGTAGAAGGCAGAATTTTAGTTAGTTTGAAGGAAGCAAGGGAAACCACCAAGTGGAGGGCAAGAGGGACAGAATTCCAGGCATGGGAGGACAGTTCAAGCAAAGGCTTACATTTAAGGGAAAGAGCGTCTTGTTTGTGAAACAGCAAGGAGGCCAATGTCACTTGATCAGAAGGTACATGGCAGGGAGTACTCACAGGACTAGTGACACTGAAAGATCAATCAATGCCCTTAGAGCAGTCTCACCACCAACTGGAACTGGTAGCAGCTCAGTCTAGTCCCATAAAGAAAGGGTGTAGTAACCAAATGATCTCCAAGGAAGCAGCCCAGCCAAGCAGCCAGAAGCAGCTTTGGTGGAGGCTCAATGAAAGGAGAAAAGGACTCCTGAGACCAAGAGTCTCAACATACCTGTTGGCCCCAAGTCTTCCCTCTATGTGTGTCTCACTACCTTTATAGGTTAAGTTTGAGTTCACACTTCTCAGGGACTTTGTGTGTGTAATGGGAAAGTACATCTTCCCCTCTTCCCCTTCTAGCTTTGGGTAACTTCTATTCTAATTATGCCTTTTCAATAAATATGTACCCTATTAAGATTGTTTAAAAGTTTTCACTTCCTCCTCATTGAAAAAGAAAATAAAACAGAATCCTTTGTAACAAATATGTACAGGCAAGCAATACCCATTTCTGTGTTGATTGTGTAAAAAAAATTATGTTTCAATCTGCATTCTGAGATCATCAGCTGTCAGGTACAAAGTGGGTAACATATTTCACTGAGGTCTTTGGAATCATGAGATCTCTTCGGGATCATTGTATTTAATAGAGTTGTTAAGTCTTTCAAAGTTATCTTTACAATGCTGTTGTTTAGATACCCTGTTGTAAAAGCTGATTGATACCAGTTTATTGGTTGATATTAGGGAGCACAAATTTGGGATCCTGTGCTAAAGTACTTAACCTTTTCAGGGTTATCCCTAGAATCCTGAGGGGAGACATAATCAGCTGTTGCCTGGGGATCCGACTTAACTAGACTGATGCAGTGGAGTTGGGGAAGTAGCCCTGGTAGAATTGTTACTTTCTTTAAAGTAGCCACACAGGGAAGCTTGCTGGGTCCTGCAGCCTCAGTTTTCTGGCTTGTAGTTTTTTTTTTTTACCAAAGGAAAAGAAAATAATTTTAGAGTTCAAATTGGGATTCATGCAATCTAAGGGTTACGTAAATATCAGATTCACTGTCTCTTTAACGTGTTCTAGTCTCCGCTTTGCAATGAGGGAAAACCTCCTCCTCCACTCTTTAAACAAATAGGAGCCTTCCCTCTGGCTCAATTCAACAACCAGTGCAAGTAGTTCAGTGGGCCAGTATGTGTGTGAGTGTTTTTTAAAATAACTGGTGAAACAGAAGAAACATAAAATTAAAGAGTGAAATCAAAATTTTCAGTGTTGGCTAGAGGAGTAGGGAAGGGACAATGACAAAACAGGAAGTGAAGGGATTGAATGAAACAGGAAACTTGGCATCTCTCTGGAGGGAGCAAAGGAGGGAGGGTAAGAATGTTGGTATCTGTCTTACTTTCTACCCATTGTTCTCCATCTTCAGCTCTGACTTTCCCTCAGTTCATTATGGACTCCTGCCATGTTTTCACTTCTTCCAAGAAATCTGTCCAAGTTAAGATCAAGCCCACAGGAAATTCTGGAATGGTACCATCAACTTGGATCCCTCAAGGCTTCCATGTTAATGCCCCTGTAGGTGAGGCAAACCTTGGGGTTACACATGAATAGCATGAGGCTACAGGGATCCATTTTCAGCCATAATCAGGAATGTTTTCATTGGAGACAAAAATGGTTGAGGGAATCCCCAATCTCAGCTCAATCCCCACTCCACTTGGAGCCAGAGAGAATAGCAGTGGCAGGGAAAATGGTAATGGAAGATGAGGGTGAGAGTAATTTCATAGTCCTAGACGTTCTGTGGACAAGCCTATTTATTACTTGGGGTAGGACTGGTGGAGGGCTGTAGTGCAGCTTCCTTCAGAGACACTACACTTTAAGGTTCAGCCTTCAGGAAATAGAAGTGGGGATTCTTTGGGGATGGGTGTGCTACTGCTGACTTTGGTCTTACTAAGAAGAGAAGTTCCTAAGAGGTTACCAGATAATTCTAGCATCAGAGGTCACACTTCTCCGGGGAAGAGCAATTACTTCTCTTTTTGACCAAGCATACTGTCCTTTTTTTAAAAAATTAATTTATTTTGAATTATCAACAATCATTTCCATAAGCTTTTGAGTTTTAAATTTTTCTCTCCCTCCCCAAGACAGCTCACAATCTGATATAGGCTATACATATACATTCCTATTAAACATATTTTCAGATTAGTGATGTTGTAAGTAAAAATTAAAACCAATAAGAGGAACCATCAGAAAGATGAAACAAAACTCAACAGAAGGTAAAAATAGCAAATAGTATGCTTCGATCTGCATTCAAACTCCATAGTTCTTTCTTTGGATGTGGATAGCATTTTCCATCATGAGGTCTCAAGGATACTGTTCTTTAGGTGTCTGACAACTCCAGGAATGAGGCACTCATTGATCCTGGGAAGCCAGAGAAACTTCAACTGATCAGAAGGAATAGAATCCTAGGCAACTGTGTCATGACTTGCTTCATGTCTCCTAGGGCAATTGTACTAGGAGAGGGGGAAGCCTGCCCCCACCATAACTTTCTCTCTGTCAGCCTGTGACTCTGTTCTCTCCCAAGGTTTGCGTTTACCTCCATAACTTAAAAGGATATAGTGATTAGAAGACAATGATGTTCAAGGCATGCAGACCCCAGTCTCTGTAATCTTGAGGGGATAGAGTGCCTGCTCAAAGCATGCCCCACCACTGGAACCCAGAGTAAAGACAACTGCACTACCCTGAGACTCTTCCTCCCCATTTCTAACTTCAAAGACCAGATCAAACTCTGCCAATCCTGCCCCTAGTTCTGTCCATGATGGGATCAGGTGGGAAGGATTCAAAGTTCTGAGGGCCTACCATACTTCTCAATGAAAACTTACAAGGCAACATGTCTTTTTTCCATTATAGCAAGGACTGAGAAATATAATATGTTGGAGGAAGAGCAAAGCAACTTGTTTCCAACATCTGAAAAGTTTTGTTTGGTAGTAAGTGCTTTAAATTCTCTTTAGACAAGAGCTTGATCATTAAACTCTAATAAACTTCTGTTATCACATGGGTTTAAGAACCTTGGAGAAGCTGTAAAAAAGTATGTGCCATTTGATTACATACACTTTTGTAAAAAGTTTATTGTGGACACAATTTTCTTTTGGAAAATAATGTTAAATTGAAAGAGGTCTCCTTGCCATTAATTATATCCAATCAATCAAATATTAATTAAATGCTTACTCTATGCAGATGGGACAGTGAGGTGGCACAGCAGAGTGGTGGGCCTGGCATCAGCACTCTGAGTTCAAATTTGGCCTCAGATACTTACTAGCTGAGTGACTGTGGGCAAGTCACTTTACTCTGGTTGCCTCAGTTCCTTATGTGTAAAATGAGCTGGAGAGGGAAATGGCAAACCAGTTCAAATGGGGTCACAAATAGACTTGACTGAAATGACTCAACAATGTGCCAGACACTCTAATAGTCTGTCCTCAAGGAGCTCACATTCCAATGGAAGAGATATGATTCAAACAAATATGTATATCTAGGATATATTCAGCATAAATGGAAGGTAATTCTCAGAGCAAAGAAGGGGAGGAAGAAGGGAGGGAGAAGCACTATTTGGGAAAGGCCTCCTTGCAGAAGGTATCATTTGAGCTTAATTTTGAAGGAAGTCAGAGTTAGAAGCACATTGGAAGCAAATGCTCAACCTTGTGTTAGGAATTTAACACTATATCAGAGTTATCATCACCTAGCAATCTAAAATTAACAGAAAGGTTTTTGTTATCGCTCAGAACAGTCTCAGTGGTCAATTTCCAGAAGAGGATTCAGAACTGAGAAGGAAAGACATTTGCCTGAGCACACAGCAATTGTAATAGCTGACATTTTGACATAGCTTTGAGGTTTGCCAGTCCCTTTATATTCCTTATCTCATTTGAACATTCCAGCAATCCTGTAAGGTAGGTATTTCAGGTATTATTATCCCCATCTTGCACATGAGGAAGCTAGTTTCTAACCAAAGGCAAGTGTCTCATAATTGGTCTCCCTGCATCCAGCTTTTCCCTTCTCCAAATCATCTCCTGCATAATTGCCAAATCAATATTCCTAAAGCACAGCTCTGACCATGTCACTTTCCTTCTGACAAATCTTCCATGGCTCCCAATTCTAAACTTCCCTTGTTATTGTTAAGCCATTTAAGTTATGTCTTACTCTTTATGACCCTATTTGGGGTTTTCCTGGCAAAAATACTGGAGTGGTTTGCCATTTCCTTCTCCATCTCTTTTTACAGATGAGGAAACTGAGGCAGAGTCACACAGTAAGTGTCTGAGGCTGGATTTGAACTCAGGGAGATGAGTCTTTCTGACATCAGGCCCTGTGCTCTATTCACTGTGCCACCTAGCTGCCTCAAATTTCCCTGTTTGGCATTTGAAGTGCTTCTCAGTATAACTCCAACTTATCTTTTCAAGTGGATGAAACATTATTCCCTTTTATGCACTTTATATTCCAAGTAAAATGGCCTTTCTATGCCATGTATGTGGGTTCCATCTCTCACCTCTTTGCATTTGCACAGCTTCTGACCCTTTCCTGGGATGCTGTTTCTTCTTACCTCTGACTCTCAGAAGACTTAGCTCCTCTTAAGTCTCAGCTCAAGTAACATTTCCTACAAGAGTCCTTCCCAGACTTCCCTAGTTGCTCCCTACCCTCCAGAGATTACTTCATATTCATTTTCTGTACACAGTGTGTCAGGGAAATTTTAAGCTTTTAGTAGCAGAAAACTATACTAAGACTTTTGGGAAATTCCGCATTTTGCATACGCTTATCTATTTCCCCCATTACGGTGTTCTGTAGAACCTGCAGTAGAATACCCCTTGAGGGCAATGAGCACTTGTCTTCATCTTTGCAGTTAGCACAGTGCCAACTTTCTTATTAAATGTTTGCTCCATCGAATTGAATCAGTTTGTGCCATAATTTTTGGTAGCATCATGCACATGCATTAATAATGCCACATGTAGCTCCACTGACCTTTCATCTCAGAAACCCTAGCATGTTCAGTGACATGCCATTGAAATACTCAGGCTGTGCATCTCTCTAAGGGTGGTAAGGTGTAGTTCCAAACTTTTTGATTTACTCTGAAGCCAACACCTCTTTAAGGAGTTTACATTCAAATACTTTACCTTAGTCATAATGGATGTTGGCAGAGAAGCCACAGAGAAAAGCATCTCCCTCAATAACACAGCAATTCTAAAAGCTTTCTGATTCCTGGTTGAGTATACTTGTACATATCAAGTGAAATGGCTGGTCGCAACTAGAATGTAATGATTTCAAGCCTGAGTGGATGAGAGGATAGAGGTGTC